GTGGGCGTGGGTCTGGCTGCTTTGCAGCACCGCGGAATAACCGGCTCTCCCCAGCAGCCAAGCACCCGACTCCCTGCCCTGCGGGAGCGACAACAAACGTGCCCGGCAGCTACAACCCAGCCCAAAACACAGCGACGCGGCCACGTGACGACAAGGAGAAGGAGGGGCGGAGCGGGAGGAAACACAGGAAGGCGAGAAAGAACAAAGGAAGGAGGCGAACAGAAGCCGACTCGAAGCCAGGAGGACAAAGGGCGGGCGTGGACAGCACTTTTGCCTTCTCTCCCTACCCCCCAAACGGTCATATATTGTATCATATATTGATATGATTCTCGGGATGAGTATCATATATTGATCGCTAAATGAAAGTGCGGATGCACAAGCCATTCTTTCCTGAACACGAGCGTTCTGCAGAGGATGCGAGTTCTTGCATGCACACCACCCATTTCAAAGAGTCCTGGGAATCGCGGGTTCATAAAGGGTGCTGGAAACGGGGGTTCATTGAGGGGTGAGCTGCAGTTCCCAGGGCTCTTCCGGGGAGCAAATACGCTTTAAATGGACTGGATGTCCCCCCGGTTCCCATTCAGACGTTGACACGCAGGCAGACTCCAAACCCCACCGACGGGATCCCTCGCTCTCTCCGGGGGTTAAAGGCGGCGCGCAGGCTTCCTACTGGAGGGCGCCTTTTGGAGACCCGTCTCCCGCGGCTGTTCCTCCCCGCCGGGAGAAATCTCCGAGCTCTGACCATGCAGGCGGAGAAGCCGAGCAAAGGGGAAGGAAGAGCCGCCACCGGCTGCACCCGGGCCGCGCTCAGGCTTCCTGCCCCGCCGCCCCTCGGTTTCCCCACCAGTGCGCAAAGGGCGCCTTTGTGCACAGACGCCCCTCGCGCTCGGCTTCCGGCGCCTACCTGAGCCGTTGTTGGAGTTTCTCTGCCGCTTGGAGCTCGCCATGGCTGGGCTTTCGACTCGCACGCCCGAGACTGAGGGAGGAACCCCCTTGGGTGCTGCTTCTGCCGGAGTCAGCGTTTCTCCTCCTCCAGGCAGCCGCCTCCCTCCGCCCACCTTTTTCTCCCCCTCCACCCAGCCCGAGTTATCTTCCTCCGTCCCTCTCGGTTATCCAGGCGGGGCGTGGGCTGCTGCTCGTGGGTGCCAGCTTGGACGCACGGCTCGAGGAAGCTTCCGTGTTCCTTCCCTCCGAAGGTCAAAGAACTCGCCAGGGCTTGTCCCCGAGGCTTGTTTTCGTTGCCAGCCCCCAGCCCTGCCGTCCCAAGACGTGTCCAAGCCTGAGGCAAAGCAGCAAATGCCAACTGTACACAGTAGTTCCAAGGCTGGCCCAGTTGTGAGGTAGAAAAATAGCACAGGCTTTCTTCCTGGGATTAAAAAACACATTGATAATAAATATATAGCGGTTTCCTGCCTATTACCTAATGGCTGGGCCGGTCCTGTTCCTACAACTTAATTTATTTTTATTTTATTCTATAATTTTTCTTAATTTTTTTGTTTTACATTTTAGAATATTCATTTAAACAACCTTAAAATATCAATGACTTCCCTTCTTCTCTTTCCTTGGTTCACTTTGCAAACATAAATCCCTGCATGTTAGTAGGAGCAGGCCAGCGTATTTTGCCGCCTGAAGCAAAAGATGTTGTTCAATGTCTTTATAAACAATTCAGATGAAGGAATTGAAGGGATACTCATCAGATTTGCAGATGACACCAAACTGGGAGGGGTAGCAATGCATAGAAGACAGAATCAGAATTCAAAATGACATTTCCAGATTGGAGAACTGGGCCCAAGCTAACAAAATGGTTTTCAATATGTAAGGTTCTGCACTTATGAAAACACATGTGAAAAGGGTCTCTAGGGGTTTTGGTGGACACACTGAAAGGAAATTTCCAAAAGGCAGTTTTTCTGCCTTTATCTATGGGTATTCTCATTGCCTCCATCACCACCCCGCAACTACTGTAAGGCTGTAGTCCAGGCTTCCTGAACCTCAGCCCTCCAGATGTTTTGAAACTACAATTCCCATCATCCCTGACCACTGGTCCTGCAAGCTAGGGATCATGGGAGTTGTAGGTCAAAAACATATGGAGGGCCGAGGTTAAGGAAGCCTGCTGTAGTCCTCCTCTAGAAAGAAAATGTAATTGACTAGACATAAAAATGGTTAGCATTCAAGGGTGTGTACCAATGTTTCCACTTGACAAAAATAAAACATGATATACAGGCTGCTGGCAGGGTGGTAGAGGATATAAACATCACCTGTGATATAACCCAACACAAAAAAGCCACTAGCACGACATACACTGTTTCTAACATGTAACATACTGAAGACTAGGAATCATATCTAATGGTGACTTTGGGCTAGCAGAAGCGTGTCTGCTTGCATAAGTTAAACATCTCGTTGCTACTAACCACAATTCCTCCTACCCCAAAAAGCTTTCCCTGCCAGCTGGGTAGAAAATTGGTATGGCCCACAAAATGTAGGGAGGGTTGGTGAAAATGGGTTGTCTCACCTTGTTAGCAGAAGCACTTCTAGCACAAGGGTACCATTGACTGCAACCCAGTAACTCAAATGGACCTTAAGTCTAAGGATCTATCCCTACTTAAATGGGAGTGAGCTCCAATGAATCCATTGGGACTAACTACTGAGGCGTTTTTAGGATTGTGCAGCAAGTGTAATAATGTAAATGTTGACAACTTCCAGAGGGATCACTGTTTGTAAATAGAAAAGCTTTTTCATGAGGCTGGCAAGTTCCCACTTAGTACCACTAAATCCAGTGTCTTCTGTGCTGACCACTTCCAGGACTGTCTGATTAACATTGCAGGAAGCTGCCTCATACACTGGTCCACCTAGGCCTGCATGTTTGGATGATGGGGGCTTTCAATAGTTTCTGGTAGAAGCATTTCCCAACCCTATATCAGAGACTGAACCTAGGAAAATGTGCATGCAAAAAACCCCCACATACTCTACCATTGTGTTATGGCAGGCATGTCCAAGAGGCACATTGCAGTACAGGTAGATTGCGGGGGTGTCCCACGTAGATCACAGAATGAAGTTTACTGATCGCCTTTGGTCAACCTGCCCCTAAAAAAAGCTCAACAACTCCTGCAATGGCAATGGGTAGATCACAGCCGGTCTTTTTATACTGTGAGTAAATCACAGTCTCTTGAGAGTTGGACGTGCCTGTGTTATGGCACTCCTATATAAGAATCACCTTTTCTTTCCAAACTTAAAAATTAAACCTTGGTCAAGGTATACCTGGAATCTTTGATCTCTTAGTCACAGTTGTGTCAACAGAACTATTGGGTCACAGTAACCTGATTTCTGACCCATATACTGTATAAATTTATTCAGTTTGCATTAACAACAACAATAATAATCCCAGACACATATTGACATGCTGTAACCTTTGTTAACTTTAATTATCTTTTAAATTGTTTTAATTATTTGGTTTTAACTGGTTTTCATTGATAATATTTCTTGTAAATTTTTAAAGGTTTTTATGACAGTCAAGCACTATACAAGTCTTTAAATTGTGGGGAAATACAAAAGACCTGTGTGAAGTATGGAAGCCCAAGAACAACCCGTAACTAGATATTCTCTTCAGAGCTGCAGACACCTTTTCTTCTGCACCTAATTTTTCACCAGACACAATCATCTCAGTATAAAGGGCTAGGAATAAACTTCCTTTTTCAGAAACAAAAGCAGGTATTTTTCAGGATATTGTACCAAGTGCAATAGTTTATAAATGTATTGACATTTTTTTGAATATTCAGAAGGAACCTTGGTCACTATTTATATAACTGACATTTCAATGCCAAAAAAAGTCTTATGCCATGTTTGTTGAATTAACATTTGTTAAGAATGCAATGGGAACATAGCTCAGCATTCTGTAACTGGCCAGAACTTTTATGATTCTCCAGCATTAAATGGTTAACACAGTATAAATGCTTCTACCCCAAAGTGTGTTTTGGCAGGGGGGTATGTAACTCTATCAGTTCTAGATTTTAGATCCATGATTAAAGTTTACACTCCTTCAAACTTCTCCAAATTGAAGTTCTCTTGTTTTTGGCTTGTCATTGCTTTCATTAAAATATCTAGAGAAAGTAGTTTGCTCTTCCTTTCCTCTGGCTTTGGTTTGTGTTTTGCAGATTGCTCCTACTGAACTTTGTACCTACAGCAAGCTAATAATATAAACTACTAGCTTTGAGTCACATTGCTAGGAATGCTCTTGGCAGGCCAAAGTAGTCCTGAAATTTGCTGTTTGAATTGCATCTTCATTGCACTTGTGTATCTGGATGAAAGGTTGTTATAGTGTACTTTTTAGGAGCCTTGTATTAAATACTTCTTCACAAACCTAAAGTTTTAGTTCTGAACCTACTCTTAACCAGAATTTTATTGAAACCAGCCAGCTTCGTAAGTCAGTAAACAAAAGTTATGACTAACCACAGTTTGTCTAGCTTCAGACAATTGCAGTTAGCCAAAAATGGAAGGGAAAATTTCTGACCTTGCAGCCACACTGGGTGCTGCAGGCTCTCATGTTACATCCAAATGCAGCTAGAACAGGGGTCAGCAACCTTTTTCAGCCATGGGCCAGTCCACCGTCCCTCAGACCATGTGGTGGGCTGGACTTTTTTTTTTTGGGGGGGGGAGATGAACGAATTCCTATGCCCCACAAATAACTCAGAGATGCATTTTAAATAAAAGCACACATTCTACTCATGTAAAAACACACTGATTCCCAGACCATCCATGGGCTAGATTGAGAAGGCGATTGGCTGCATCCGGCCCACGGGCCTTAGGTTGCCTACCCCTGAGCAAAAATAAAGGCTTGTAAAATGAATCCTGCAGATTTTCCTCAGTATAGTATGCTACTCAGGTAAGTTTTATTTATAGCAAAATGACATGACACACACACAGCTTTGACTCTTTAATTCTCCCCCCCCCCCACTTTACACAAATACAGTTTTTTTTCTTTTTTCACAAATTTTCACGCTAAAGAAATCCCTTATTTCCCAGAAGAAAATATATCACAGACCACTTTTCAAGTAATTTCATTCAGTAGTTTCTAGTGCTTGTGTGTTCAGAACTTGAGAACAACTCAGCATTAAAAGTTCACATTCTTTCATAAAAGACAAAATACATTTGACAAAAAACCTCTATAAAATCCAAGATTAAAAAATGGAACACCCATTTTGTAGGTTTTGATCCAACTAAAGTTGGTTGTGACCAAGACCTATTAAAATTAATAGGGCAGACAGCCCCACTGTTTTCATTGGGTCAGTTATAATTAACATTAGCAGCATGGGAACAGATTATTTCTCACAAATTACTTCATTTTAAAATATATATATAGAAAAGATTAAGAGATTTTTTTCTATTAATTTTAAATAGGCAAGTACAGACAAATAAATTAGAATCTTTTTCTATTCAAGTCAAATGCGAAAGTAGAAATAAATTATTAAAAATCAAGTGGGAAAACCCTTGCAGAGTTCACAAAGCAATTCCATAAGCCTAAAACACAGAAACAATGGTAAAAGTATTCACTAGTCATATTTAGTTCTGAAACAGTGCAGAAGAAACAGGTTTGATAGTCAAATGCTCCCCACACTAAATGCAAATATTTCTCTTGTTCAGGCCAATAAACCATATTAAGACACCTTTACTTCACAGAATGTCTATGTGTCTAAAACACTTGATTAGAGATCAAAAATAATTTTTAAAAATTTATAGTGTTCTTGGATAATTGGGGGGCAGGGGAATCAATAGCTTGGTTTCATTGCTTTGGCAGATGGATTTGATGCACCCTAGAATTCCAACATGTAAACAACTTAACTTTGTCAGTTAAAACTTTAAGGGAGATATGCAACCAAGTAATCCTCAGATCCAATGACGTTAGTGTGCTTAATGTACACAATAGTGGATCTAGTCTGAATATGACTCAGTTGGATACCATCTATAGTTTTAAGGCACTTGAGAATCTGTTGTATAAATGGATTCAGATGCATCTAAGTCACATTAAGGCAATCCTTAAACACTGAGATTAATAATCTGACATGCTATAATTGTTGGTAGAGGCAAATAGTGATCTGGCGCCTATTCACTCAAAAGTAAGCTCCACCAGAATCTGGGGTGAGCCGAGAGGCAGTTTGGGGGTCGATGCTGGAGCTGGTAGGAAGCAATTGGTGAGTAAACAGCAGGATGGCTGCCACTTTTGCTGCTCGGTACAAAAAGGACCTAAGTACGGAGACCTTGAAGGCAAAACTTGTCCACCAAAAGTCCATTTCCCGAAAGAGCAGACACAAGGAGTTTAATAAAGGCAGGCAGTTTGGACTCATTGATGTCAATGCACAGGCATCAAGAAATGGTGAGCCTCCACTGCTGGAGGAGACAGGTGAAGGGTACTTACTAAGGAGCAGCACAAAGTCAAGCCAAAAATCAAGCGTTTCAGCTAAGTCTCATGCCTTCCCTGCCTTCCTTTCAAAATCAACAAATATACCGGTGCTTAACAAGCCAAAGGAGACGGTAACAAAAGGAGCAAGTGTGGAAATGCGGTTAACAAGGTCAAAGATGAAGAACCAATTGCAAGAATCAGTCAGACCATTAGCTAGACCACCGCATTCAGTGATGGTACCTAGCAAGGACTCCACTCTGCAAACAGATCAGCATAACCAGAGGCAGATCTTCGTAGAGAAACCCCCCAAAGAGAGGAAAGGGGCACAGCCTACAACTTCCACAACTGCCGCTGGAAGAGTTACAGGAGCCACAGCTGCTGCTCTGACCAAAATATCACAGATATCCCGTCCTGCTGTGAATGTAGGTCTTCCGCTGCAGAAAAGCGAAACAAGGAACAGAAAACAGCAGCAGAGAGGGGTCAAAAATGCAAAGGAAACAGTGTTGTGTGGCATGAAAGAGAACCATTCAGTGGAGCCTCTTAAAGAAGGTGTGATCACCCAAATCCCTTTGGATACAGCCACAGAGCTAGGAAAAGATAACCTTCCAGCCCCTATCATCCTGGCTCTTGCACCACAAAGGAGAGAGCGCTCATTTGCCCCTGAGAATTTTGTGTTCAAGCCTCCGGAGGGTTTGACCACCTACAAAGTCAAGCCAATGTCAGATGTGTTCCTGTCGCCCAATCTTTGCTGGAGCCCTGCAAAAGACCACCAGCAAAGTCCCTGGAGAAGGTGCTCTGGAAGTTTTGCCACAGGGCTGTGGGCTTAAACAGAAGGTCTCTAGCCCAGGAATAACAAAGGCAGTTCTTCCGGAACATCCATCTGTACTTGAATTTCCAGGTGCTAACACAGAATGTCTAACTAAACAATGGATGCTACTCCCTTTGAAAAGCAGATCAATCCACAGAAAGTGGACCTACCAGCAAGTGATTCATCTGACCCAGCAGGAGAACCACAACAAAACTGAATCACTCAGGTCCTTCCCAGGTTCTCTTCTCAGTGACTTCTCCTGCGATGGTGCAGTGCTTGAGCTTCAGCCCAAACTGGATGGCAGCCTCTTCATCACTCTGAGGAACGAGGCGGAGAAATTTGTGGCCAACCCAAGCAACGACCTCATTGTTTTCTCTCCCCTTACTTAATCAGAAGGGGCAAAATAAGTTTGATTTTTATTTACAAACCGGGGTGGGTGGGGGGAGTGGACAGAAAGAAAATTTACTGTGGTTTTTCTATGTTAAGTACTATTGAATGTTTAATAAAGCTGGTCTGTGTCTTCTCGGGGGGGGGGGGAGTAAGCTCCACTGTTTTTAAAGGGGCTTACTCCTAGGTAAGCACGCAGAGGATTGCTGCGTAAGGCTGAAAAATCTAAATATACTTACTAAGTGGTAAGCCTCAGTGAATAGTGAGACTTAATTGAACATACATAAGGTTCATTAATTAACTGAACACACACAGGACTGAACTACAGAAGCAGAAACAGAATATCTACTCAAGGGAATATTCCACTATAACAGCAGCATAAGATTGCAAACAAAACCCATACATTTTTAAGGCATTTCCCTTCTGTCCATAAAGCAAGGCTCTGAGGAGATGCCAAATGCTGGTAAGACCAAAGTTTGACCTACTTTTTACCCCATGCAATAGTTACGGGTGTTCACCTCTATCAGTTTAAGAGCAGCATCCACAATCCCCTCAAGAGGAAAAACTCACGTAGAGGTAGCACTCCGAGGCCAGTTGCCAAAATTGCAATTTTCGCTTTCAAAGTTGTATGCAAAAGATCCTTAAAGATTAAGGATGCAAAGGTGACAGAGGGAAGAAGTGCTATATAAAAAAACTAGTGTCTTCTACAGAAGTGTAGACCAGCTTGACGCTCCGACTGTATGCTTTGAACAGCTTTGTAACAACAAAAGGGCTCTCACAATACAGATGAACTGAACCAGGTCGAAAGCTTCTCTCTTAAAGGTCTGTCTTGTCTTCATACCGACACATACATGCTGCTCTTTGACTGTCAAGGTATGGCTTGCATCCTAAATGTATGACTGCGTCAAACACTAGTTGAACTGTTGATTCACACGCTGCAAGGAGGAAAAAGCAAATCAATTTTTAAATTCTTGTACTGAGGCCCTGTTGGCACTATAAAGAAACAAAGCATCCACTTAACCTAGACCCAACGCAAGGTATGCAGCTTATTCTGCTCATTGACGTAAGATGAAATTTCAATCTATTGAACAACCAACTTATACTTGTCACTTCCATCACCATCATTGCTCAGAGTAAGACCACCACCATGGGAATTGGGGTAGATGTGGAAATACGATCCATGCAGAGGTACCAGCTCCACACGTGCTTGAGATAATGACATGTAGTCAGCTATAAGGTGAGTGAGCCCTATATCTGTTTGGGCAAGTTTAAGGTTTGGTGGGCATCAGGTTCATAGCAATACACAAGCAATTCAGCTCCTGCAATAGGACAGAAGCTGCTTGTATTTTGCACTGCGCTGATCACAAATACAGCCTGCATGATTTGGCTAACTCACAAGTGTGACTGTGGCCAGTCTACACTGTGTCAAAAGTAGAATTAGCCCCAGAAAAAGACGTTATGTTGTGACCTTCTTTGCACCAAACTTGCAGAAATCAAAACTGCAATGAAGGCCTAAAATTAAGAACTGGCAGATAATAAACCATCAAGAGAAGCTTTTTATTCATTCATCATATAGTAAATCTAATATTCACTCTCCACACTGCTATAGCAATTTGGTGGAATTGCTACATGCTAATGGTTTTGCTTAGGTAGGACATCTGCTAGGAGGACGTGTCTTTTTCACATTCTACTGTAAGGGGAGGAATGTTCAGTGGTGACACAAGATAGAGCAGCATTTGCAAACAGGTTACCCTCCAGATGTTTCGGACCACAGTACAAAACCTATTCCAGTCCAGGACTACACTCCAAAACCTACTGACCCAGCCAAAACCTATCCCAAAACATCATCTTACAGAGCTGCACAAGGAGAGAAGAATTCGACCAAACGGGGCAGCATAATCATGCATTGCTCAATGCAACATTTCCAGTATCAGGCAAATCCTTCCACTTTTGTGCAATGATGAACACAATCCATACTTCATCATCTGTTAGAAAGTGCTCTTCTTTATTAGCTGCACACAGGCACTGGGAAAACTGAACAGAGTTAAGTCACGTTACTTTGTGCCTCCTGGTTTTATTATTTCTAATAAAACACTACCTACAGTTATATGTCAGCTCTGTAAATATCTGTTATAGCTGCGTTATTCCAGACAAGCTTACCTTGTACGCTCTCTGGTATTCCCAGTGTCTTCTGTACATCTCTACAGATCTTAGAGAGGCAATATTGAAACTCCTCGTCGCAATCGTGTTTTTTGTTGCCACAGGTATCGTAACACCTGTCATGTTGATTGCAGCATTTTGTCATTGAAGGAATGCCAATGTCAAACTGAGAAGCAAGTTATAATAGTTAGCATTCCTTGAGAACAGTTGTGAGACTTGTTATTTATTATTTTTAATGTACTAGAAGATGAAATTGTGTCTCCTGAGGGAAACTCATGTATTTTGTGGTTTTTATATTGTAATTTTATATTGTGAACCACCCTGAGATCAGCAGATGAAGGCTGGTATATAAATTTTAACAACAACAACTCAGAACCAGCTAGAAGAGGGATGAGTTTATCAAGAAGTTAATAAAACAGATCAAGTCTTAAAGCAGAATTTTAATAAACCAAATAAAGAAAGGCCCACAGGAAATTTAAGATGGAAATTGGAAAAGGATTTTCATCAGAGAAACCAAATTATAAAAGTTTCTCTAAAGCTGTCATGGGAGCAAAGAAATACATTTCACTCTAACAGCGCTAGATGAGTTTACCATGGTAATCTATGCTTTCTTCTGATGCTTCAGCTGTGCAGGGATGGCTAACCTATGGCTCTCTAGATATTGTTGGATTTGAGCTCCCATCAGCCAGCATGGTCAATGGTTAGTGATGGTGGCAGATGTAGTCTAAAACACACAAAGCAACTAGGAAAAGGGGACCCCAGTTACTCAGTCTGGAGAAACTAAACATGGCACTTTGTTGTTCTAGCTAAGCATATATTCCAGAGGAGCAGAAACCTAGAATTTGCACATTCAGAGACAAACTGATAATCACATAGGGGTCAGAGGGGACTATTTGACCATATTGGCTGATAATCTTGTAATGTGGTTTCCTGTATCAAAATTTACTAGCTTTTGTCGTACAGGATAGTTCTATTATCAGATTCTCAATGCATCCTGCACCCCGCCTAATACCCTCAGCGAAAAAAGAAAAAAAAAGGGGGGGAAGAGTTGATCTGTCTACAGGACTAAGAGACAGCCTTTGCACGACAGGAGCATTTAGGCTGGCAGAATAAGGGGTAGATGTCTTGACATGTGAGGTGACAATGAAGGAGAAACAAATCCACAGTGCTTCTTCATGCAGTACATGGTTAAACTATGGAATTCGGATTTATGGGAGGCACTGATCCATGATCAACCTAGATGGCTTTAAAAGAGGATTGGACAAAGCCATGGAGGGGAACGCTACTGATGATGGCAGTAGAAGAAGAAGAAGAGTTTGGATTTGATATCCCGCCTTTCACTCCCCTTCAGGAGTCTCAAAGCGGCTAACATTCTCCTTTCCCTTCCTCCCCCACAACAAACACTCTGTGAGGTGAGTGGGGCTGAGAGACTTCAGAGAAGTGTGACTGGCCCAAGGTCACCCAGGAGCTGCATGTGGAGGAGCGGAGACGCGAACCCGGTTCCCCAGATTACGGGACTACCGCTCTTAACCACTACACCACACTGGCTTCAGAATACCAGTTACTGGAAAACACAGCAGTGAAGAGTGCTGTTGCGTTCAAACCTTGCTTGTGCGTTTCCCACAAGCATCTGGTTGGGCCACCGTGACAATAGGATGCTAAACTAAATGGGTCATTGGCAAGGCCCAGCAGGCTCTTCTTATGTGCTGTGGGATTGGTTGTGGGATGGGATTCAGCTGGTGGAGTCAGCTGAATGCGGACAAGGTGCTGGCAGCTTAGACGCCTAACTACATTTTCTCTAGACTTCTGCACCTCTTGGCTTACTGAATCTAGCAGAGAGAGTTTGACTAGTTGGGTGCAGAGTGTGGTTAATGTTTCAGTGCACGAACGGGTGGTCCCTGCAGCCTTGAAAGAGGTGGTGGTGGTGTCATTACTTATAAGGAACCAGCTGTGGACCCCTTGGACTGGAATAACTACTGACCAATCACAAATAACCCCTTTCTGGGGAAGGTAGTGGAGAGAGTAGTGGTGGAACAGCAGAAAACATTATTGAATAACATAATCCCAATGTGGGTTCAGGCCTGGCCATGTAACTTTTTGTGCTAAAGCACCTGCACAAAGCATTTTTGTTTATCCAAAGCCTATCTAGACACAGATGTTGACTAGTTCAATCTTTTTCCTGTTAATTTTAATTATCTTTAAATGTTTAAAATAATTATAAACTGTTTTTATTAATATTATCTGTAAATCGTTTAGAGGTTTTACTACAATCAAGGGGAATAAAATTTAATAAAATAATGATAATAATAATAATAATAATAATAATAATAATAATAACAACAACAACAACAACAACAACAGCAACAACAACAACAACTGGCCACTGTCTCGGAATGAAGGTTCTCATATTTTAGACCTATACTTCTGAGGCTGCAAAGACTCCTCTTGGGAGACTGAGATATTTAGTTTTTAAAATTTTACAAAAGCGATTTTGAGAGAATAATCACAACACTTTGTGCTTAGACGAAAACAATAGCCTACTATTTACATAAACTAGCTGCACATTTACTATTTATATATTACAGTCTCTCCATATAAATGTGAGTGTTTTCATAAATTTAATACAGGTTAATCCAGTTACATTGCCATTTAAGCATCTTTCCTTCTTTTCATCCAAGCACAGATGAAGCTACTGAGCAGGAGGAAGTACTTGATAAAAAGATACTTACGTGAACTCCAAAAAGAGGAGAACCGCAGCCATTGGGTGGCGAAGGCTTATAGCCATAGCGAGGTAAAGGCTTATATCCTGTAAAATACAAAGAATTCTGAATATTCAACATGTTTTATTTCCACCTGATTAGATGTCTCAAGGCAGGAGCCAGTGAATAATATCCAACTGGTACAGATGTATATAAATTATCTGTACCGTAGAATTCAATAAAATAACCCAGTATGAGCTGTTATATACACTTGTGTGTTTGGAGACTTTAGCATAAGGAAAATTAATTTATTACTACATTTAGATTCTATCTTTCCTCCAAGGATTTCAAAGGGGAGTCCACATGTTATCCTGACAAAAACCCAGTGTTGGTTAGGCTGAGATGTGGTGACTGACTCAAGGTCACCTGGGGAGGATCATGGCTGAGTGAGGAAGTGAATCCTCACCTTCCAGGCCCTAGCCCAACTCTAACCACTATACAATTAACTTGGAACTACAGTGGCGTCCCGCAAGACAAATGCCTCGCAAGACGAAAAACCCGCTAGACGAAAGGGTTTTCCGTTTTTTGATGCGCTTCACAAGACGATTTTCCCTATGGGCTTGCTTCGCAAGATAGAAACATCTTGCGAGTCTTGCGATTTTTTTCGCTTTCCCCCCCTTTTTCTAAGCCGCTAATAGCCTTTTAGCTGCTAAGCCGCTAAGCCTTTAATAGCCGCTAATCCGCTAATAGCCTTTTAGCCGCTAAGCCTTTAATAGCCTTTTAGCCGCTAAGCTGTTAAGCCTTTAATAGCCGCTAAGCCGCTAATAGCGCTAATCGGGTTGCTTCGCAAGACGAAAAAACCGCTAGACGAAGAGACTCGCGGAACGGATTATTTTCGTCTTGCGAGGCACCACTGTATTCTGTACTAAGGGAGCAATCCTATGTTCCCTGGGAGAGCAGCTGAGTGGGGTGGGGAGGGACAGGATGATGGAGATCTTTCTCCCTGGGGGTGGAGAAGGAGTTCTGCTGCTGGAGGTGTTCCTAGGGCAACAAAAGAAAGCTCTGCTCCTCTTACTGGTCCACCATACCCAGACATAAGCTGTTTTATGGGCCTGTCAGAGGAGGCTGTGAATCGTCAGGATCCTAATTCCCCTCATGTGGCCCTCAAGAGGTTGTCCAGAAGAGAATGTGGCCCTTGAGTTGAAAAAATCTTTTTTGCTCCTCCAGAAGTGGCATCTCCTGCATCACAGAATCTCCCTTCCCTTAGGATTATTTAAAAGATGCATTTCTCAAAACACATAGGATATCTAACAATTTAGGGAAAAGGTATACGACCATAGTTATGAAGTTATATTTTTAAGCAACACCGTTTAAAAAGTAGCTTGTTTCCACATAGCCATTTTCTCATCTCCTTGACCAGAGATAACTAGGGGTAAACCTCAATCAAATTGGTTTTAAAAACTGGACTCCAACTGGTTAACCTGAACTTTCAGTGCTGATGAAGGAAGAATGGATTATTTTACACAATGATTTCCAAATACTTCAATCCACAGTTTATCAAAGTGGTGCCTAAACAAAGAAGGATGTATTTATAAAAGCTTAGTCTTTCTGTAATATAATCATTTGGCACCATTACAAGTTAACCTCAGATCTGACAACACTAAGAAGCACTCTGCTGGATCTGATCAAAGGCCCATCTAGTCCAGCATCCAAAACAAAGAGAACTTTGAGGTCATGATAAAACAACCAACAAGACTAACACAGGCTTATTAAGCATCCAGGAACCAAGACAACAATGCACTAATCTTTACCGTCAACATTTTAAAAGGTCACTGTTGTTGGCTAGCATCACAAGTGAGATCCTAAGGACGCATGTAAGTATGCAAAGCTTTAAGATTGAACTGCCATAAGGTTGGCAAACGTATTTTAAGCGGCAGCTTTTACTCCTTTACATAGAATATGCCCCATTAAAGCTCAGTAGAACTTATAGGTCTGCATCTTTCTACCAAATGGACCCAGTGTGCACCTTCTGATCTAAAGAGAGTTTATTTATAACATTTATATGCCAGTGCAGCATGATAGTTACAATGTTGGACTAGGACCTGGGAGAGCAGGGTTCGAATCCCCACTCTGCCAATGAAGCTCAATGGGTTACCATGGGCCAGTCACCATCTCTTAGCCTAACCAACTCACACGGTTGTTGTGAGGATGAAATGGGAAGCAGAACAATGTACACTGCCTTGATCATTGGAAGATAAAGGTGGTATATTAATGTAATAAATTAAAAAATACCTTGCCTTCTGAGCCCAAAGAGGTACATACAGGATTCCCAGGAGATCCCTTATCTGATCACACTTCATGCACCTTCCAAACCGTTTAGACTTGAACCTAACGCTTTCAAGATTCAGTAAAAAAAGGTAAAGGTACCCCTGACCAATAGGTCCAGTTGCGGACGGCTCTGGGGTTCTTGTGGCGCTCATCTCGCTCTATAGGCCAAGGGAGCCGGCGTTTGTTATGTGGCCAGTATGACAAAGCCGCTTCTGGCAAACCAGAGCAGCGCATGGAAGTGCCATTTACCTTCCCACCAGAGTGGTACCTATTTATCTACTTGCACTTGACATGCTTTCGAACTTCTAGGTGGGCAGGAGCAGGGACCGGTACCAACTGGGAATTACCGCGTTAACCTCCGCCCCGCTCTCCCCACTTCTTTAGGGCACTATCGGCATTACCATCGCTGCACTTATACTGACAGAGCCCATCCTCTCCTCCCAGGAGATCCAAAGCAGCATTCAGGTAAGTGTCGATCTTGTGGACGCCGTTCCTGATGGTCTTCAGCGTCATCCTCCAGTCGGGGGTCTGGGCCTCCTGGCACTGGGCGGGCAGGGGCCGCATCCCCAGCAAGCCGCAGGTCACGAGAAGCGGCAGCAGGGCCCGGCTCATCGTCTCTCCCGGGCGCGCAGGGGCCAGAGTGCCAGAACGCCGCCCACGCGTGGCGCAACGGAGCTCCGCGGATTCGGAGGGCTCGGGAGGGAGGCGCGCGCGCTGCCGGGCAGGCTAGTCTCCCGTTCCTCCCGCGGGCAGCTGCATTACGCACGTACAGTCGCCGCCGCAGGCAGCCGCCTCGCCTCCACGGCGCTTACCGCTCGGAGGCCACGGAAGCGCTACCATCCCGGACAAGCCCCTCCGGTCCCTGTTTGCAGGCGCGCCGTCCGCCTCCAGCAGCCCCGCCTCAGTCGCGTCGCGTCAGGGCGCTTCGGGCGCAGAGAAGGAAAGGGGGCGCGGCTAGCGCTCTCCCGGTAGGGAAAGAGGTCGTGGCGGTTGGAGGTAGGCGGTGCGCGGTGGGCAGGCGCTTGAAGCTCTTCCAGAGGCCTTAAAGGAAAAGCGCGCATTGTTTCCCTGGATCCCACGGCTTCCACTTCGGGGGTGGGTGGGTGACGGACCTGTATTACGGGGACAAAAGTCACCTTTCCCTCCCCACTGCGGGCGCAACGGCGCGCGATGGAGAGCGCACTGCTGAGCGAGTGTCGTTGTTCTGGCTCCACCGCCTTGCCTGAGCTATTTTCACACCATGCTGTTTCTATTTTTCTTTTGGGGCTAGCTACCACAATTGGTAGAATCTTCTGGTTGAGGGGAATAGATCAGTGTGGGTGGCTGACTTAAAGCAAGATTTGCTTCTGTGCACTGGTATGCTTTCAAACTGCTAGGTTGGCAGGAGCTGGGACAGAGCAATGGGAGCTCACCCCGTTGTGGGGATTCGAACCGCCGACCTTCTGATCGGCAAGCCCATGAGGCTTGGTGGTTTAGACCACAGCGCCACCCGCCTTTTAACTATACTTCTGTGTCTATATTTGAGGTGGTATAGAGCCTATGTTGTATAGACCCGTGTTGTGCTTTGTTTGACAATGGAGAACTGGTAGAATGTGTAGTGTAGATGGAGCCATACAGCATGAAGGCCTAAAAGGCCACTTTGTTCTGTATCTTGATGCAAGGCAAGGCCACCTGCCCACCATTCCCATTTGAGAGTTGCCCAAGCCTAACAGTGCGCAGATGTCAAAACCCAACAGCCCCCCCAATATAAACGATAGCTGTCAACCGTCCCTTATTTGGCGGGAAACTCCCTTATCCCAGCCCCGTGTCCCGCTGCTGTCCCTTATTGATGATGTCCCTTAAATTTCCTGGGTTTCATGCTCTCCCGGCTTGGGAGGGAAGCAGCGGCTCGGGGTCCTCCGCTGCGAGAGCGCGCGCACGAGCTGCCGTGTCTCTGTCTCTCCCTTTTCCCCCTCGGGTGTGTCGTGAGGAGACGGGTGGTGGCGGGCGGGCAGGCAGCCCCTCTCTTGTGAGACTTCCGCCGTGCTGCCAGGGGAAGCCGGAGGCGGCAGTGGCTGAGTAGGCGGCCTGAGGGAGGTGGAAGAGGAGGGAATGGGGAGGGACGCAGAAAGGCGGTGCTTCAGCAGCCGCCGCAGCACCGCCTCCGCCTCATGCCGGGCTCGCGGGCGGCATGGGCAAGAGTCTCTCTCCCTCCCTCCCTCTCTCTTGGGCGGGGAAGGGCCTATGGAACTCCTCGCGCCAGGACAACGGCAGCCCCGACGTGCTGCTTAGCATACCCTCCAACCAGTGCAGCATCTTAATGTAGTGATTTCCCCCTCTGCATCCCTTTCATAACTCTTTCATAACTGCAAAACAGCATGGCTCCATCAGTGCCGGATTTATGTATAAGCAAGCAAAATCCCTTATTTTGGCTGCTGATCCCTTATTTTCGAGGCTGCTGGTCCCTTATTTTCAAATCTGTAAGTTGACAGCTATGATATAAACTCAACTGCAGTTCACTGTGGTCCATTCACCTCTAGTGGCCTCAGCTGCTTTAGCTAGCTATATTAAGGGCTTGAATCATGTTCTGCATTTGCTGGCTTCTGAAGGTTAGAATAATGATAACCTAGTGGAGGAACATTCCCCAGAGCCTTCTTGCTCATTGGAGGAGTCTGAAGTCTACTCCTCTGAGTCTGGGTGGTGACGACAGTGTTGTTTTGATACCACCCTTCCACCTGAGGATCACAGGGCAGTTTACAGTACTTCCCTGGGTTTTATCAGATTGGGTGCAGGATCCAAGCATAGGTCCTCCCCTTAAATCAGGCTCTGATTTTTCTTCTGAGCTACTGCATAACTAAGTTTATTGGCCCAAGGCCATGACATTCTCCATGCATTTTTGGAACAATAGGGAAAATAGCACCTAAACAGGACTTCAGAGTTTTAAGGATTCTGCAACTGTTTGAAATGTTTGAAAATAGTCTGTACAGTAAGATACCTAAATATTCTCCGTCCATGGCTATTATGCCATCTTGTGTACAGTGGAGCCTGCTTAGCAAATTTCAATACAACATAAAAACAAACATTTCCTTGGTGGTATGCATCACTTTTATTTGAATATACAATGAGTACAAAAGAAATGCAGTAACTGTTTACAGAAGCACACATACTTTAAAATTTATCAAATGCAAAATTTCACAACTCATAACTGATGATCTTTCGCAGCATAATCCAGCCAGAGCTGAGTACTTCTAACTTTCACAGATGAGAGATGGGAAATCAGTGGCCTTCCACATGTTAATGGACTACAAATCCCATCAATCCTAACTGCTGGCCATGCTGGCTGGGGCTAATGGGAACTGGAGCCTGAAACATCTGGAGGGCCAAAGGTTCCTTCCCCATCCCTTCCACAGTTTTCAGCAAGCTTAAAGCTACAACTGCACACATATTTACTTGGGAGTAAGTTACGTCTTCCGAGTAAACTTGATCATGCCATACATTTCTCTCATTGAAACCACTAGGACAATGCTTCACTTTGGCTGGATTGAGCCACAAGTTCTACAGCCTATCTTTAGCTATTGCCAAGGCAAAAAGAGGTAATATTTACATTCCAAATCACATTCCAAATCACAAGTTATATTGGGAAATGAGATTCAGTCCAGTGTGACGGCCAATCCAATTGAAATAATGTGCCACTTTTGTATAAACCCCAGGGTGTCCTTTTTCGCCACAATTTTCACCCCAGCTCACAACACCCCAAACATACCCCACATTATTAGAGTCAAAACAAACTAAGGGTCCTCCTGAGTCACCTTTACAGGAATCCACAGAGCCATCATGCGTTCCTGAAAAGAGAAAAACAAAGTAACTTGTTACCAATGCCCTCACCCACAACAAAGGCAATTATGGGTGCATTTTCATTCCCAAACTATTCTATTGATACTAGATACAGTCAAAACAGAGTAGAAAGCCCAAAGTGTGTGTATGACTATGGCTTTGTGGTGTTTTATCTTGTCCATAGCTGAGGCATTTGTTTTTTGCCCATTTGGGACAATTAATCAATTCCCCCATATCCAGAGCCTGCGTTCATTGAGCCTGATCCTTGTCAAAGACTGACATAATTATTTATTCTGGATAATATCTTTAAATGCTGGTGATTTAGGGAGCAATCCAAACTCCTGCTAGTCCAGTGGAGTCACATGGAGCAATGGGGCCATGGCTGCATCCACAGCCCTGCAATACATGACAACCAAGGCAGAAAGGAGCAGGCAGATAAACATCCCCTCCTGTTAACTTCTTAGAAGAAGAAGAAGAGGAGTTTGGATTTGATTTCCCTCTTTATCACTACCCGAAGGAGTCTCAAAGCGGCTAACATTCTCCTTTCCCTTCCTCCCCGACAACAAACACTCTGTGAGGTGAGTGAGGCTGAGAGACTTCCAAGAAGTGTGACTAGCCCAAGGTCACCCAGCAGCTGCATGTGGAGAAGCGGGGAATCGAACCCGGTTCACCAGATTACGAGTCTAATACTCATGTGGGGAGCTATATGTGTGTTTGTTTTGTTTCAGGCACTGATATGTGTTGACCCGTCTCTGCTTACTTAATACTGTCTCATGAGTTTGCGTCCAGATGGGTGTCAAAAATGATACAGTTCATATTCACCTGCGCATTCCATGCCTTCAAAGTACCGGTTCCCATAGATTTCAGAGCAGTTTTCCATTAGATAAATGTACCCCCACTTGAGACCAAATTGCCTTGAAAACACTAAAGAAGAAATAAATAACAGTTGGTGTTTCATTTTACCATTTATTAATTGTTCACAATTCAGTACTTTCATTCACCGTCCATAAACTTATCCCATTTCAACCGTGGTCAGGTTAATCTGATTTTTTTAAGTATCTGATGAGACTCTTCCAGTGCAGGACAAAACAACTTGCATTTTTTAAAAAAAAGTGAAAATTTCACATAAATTTTAAAAAGTGAAAAATTTCACATGAATTTCATTCAAGTCACTGAATTAATGGGTTGTGAAGACTTGACCAACGGTGGGGAGGAGACAAGTTCGGCAGTATACTAGCTGAGACCAATAGGAAATGCTAGTGAAACAGCTTTTAATGAGCTGTTATAAAGAAGAGTTGAAAGGAAGTGCTTTTGTAGCTTAGCAAAGTTTGAGGCCAGAAGAGATGAGGAAATTGTAACCATAATTTAAACAAGTAATTAGCTTATTCCATTTACCTTCATCGAGTCCCCAGCCAGACACTTTGCACTGGTGGCCACCTTTGAACATGTATTTTGACCAAGGGACACAGACTGGTGCAGAGTCCACAGGGTGACATGTTGGGCTGTTTGTGTCCTTGGGTTTCATCTCCATCAAAGCAATGTCATTTTCATATGTTTTGGTGTTGTACTTCTCGTGAACTATTACTTTAACTACTTGAAATGCTTCTATTATACCTTCTTGTACTACTGTGTTCAGCATTCCAGTCCACACCTGATAGGTATGTGCACGGTTCTCTCTGCAAAGAAGAAATGTGTTTCAAAGAGTGCAAGCAGAAACACAAACTTTGGATTATGAAAAATTTCCCAGCTAATTAATCAAGTAGTCAAATGGATTACATACACAAGCGCCTACTTTTAGCAATAGGCTCCTGCACAGTTTTCCGTGCCTTTATGAAATCCATTAGGTGAGAAAAGCTGAGATTCATCTGAGATACAGCAAAAATAGCTGAGGCCTATTTATTTATTATTGCATTCATTTTAAGATTTATTTTTTTAAAACCACTTAATTATTTGCATTTCTTAAAAAAGAAAATCCACAGAAAATGGGACAGTCAAACAATTAAAAATCACAATAAAAACAAATGCCAGCTGGAACAAGAAAGTCTTCAGTCATGAACCTGAGGTTCAACAGAGAGTGTGTCTCTCTAATTTCAGTTGCGAGGGAGTTCAACTATCTTGAGCTCACTCTGCTG